GCGTGTCGAAGATGATCCGCTGGGCGCTACTCTTCTTGGCCACCGTGAACGCGCCTAGCGAAGGTGGCCGACCAGAGGCCACAGCAAAGCGCACCATGCCACGCGAGTGCAGCTGCTCGACGAAGCCAGAGAAGTGAGAGGAGGTGCGGGGGGCAGGGTCGAAGCACGGGCGCACCAATCCCAACTCCATGCGAAGGCGGCCCACGTCGTCAGCACTACGACGCGAGTTGGCCAATAGATCCCCCAACCATGAGTGGCGCTCCTGGGCGAGCGCGGCGGCCAGCGAGACTAGCGCGGCACCCGCCACGGGCCAGGAGACGAGGTCCTTGTTGTAGGGCACGACCGGGGAGGGGCCACCGTGCGTGATGGCGCTCCCGCAGAGCTCGCGAAGGCCCCCGCGGGTGCTGACGTCCCGAGGCGGGGGGCCCAGCGCGACGCAGCTGTCCATGGCGTTATCCTTGGCGAGGGTCTGGGCGACCGAGTCCAACCGAGCAGGCCCGTGGTCCGAGCGGCCAGCAAGCAGGTTGAGGGAGGTGATCGCGTCGTTCGCGAGTCCAGCACTGCGCCGAAGTCGCAGCGGGAAAACGTCTCGCTGACGACTCGCCGACATGAGCCAGGAGCGAGGGGCCTGCGTTGCGAGCTCCCGCGCGCGGCCAGGGCGCAGGCAGCAGCCTTGGCCAAAAGAGACAGCAAGGTGGTCGACCTTGCCCGCCGCCCTGCTCGCCACAGCGGCAGGTCGGCGGCGGCAGCTTGGCGAGTGCCCGCTCCTCCCGCGCCTTGCGGCGCTCTTTGAGCACGGCGCTCTCGGCGGACACCTGCTCGACGACCCACTTCGAGAGGGCGGGGCACACCATGATGCCGCAAGTGTTCTGCAAGCCCGTGAAGTACCAGCTCTCGTCGTGCTCCTGGTGCCCCGAGCCCGCGGTGCCAAGCGGGCGGTCCGTGAGCTTCTCCCCGCACAGATGAATATGACGGCAAATGAGTTCCATCGAAGCGAGGTTGCTAGCATCGACCTGGTCGTAGCACATCGCCGTCTGGAAAATCTTCGGCAGCTCCGAGTGAAGCAACATCGCAGGGTCGTCGAGGCCCAGGCGGCACGCGGAGCGGAAGGCGACGTGGTGCCCCACCGCGGAACCGCCGTTCTCCAGCATGAAATTCGCGCACCAGAGGACTGCGCGCGGTCCAGGTACAATCCAGTCAGGCCAGGCCTGCTGGCGCATCTCCCTGACCGCATCGCGGAACTCCTTGTGGCGCTTCCCCATCCATGTCGTAACTGACGGACAGCGTACGGAAATCGCCCCCAGCGGCCACCCGCGCAGGCCCTGGGCCAGCGGCCAGCGCAGCGTGTAAGCTTCCATGCCCAGCAGCAGCGCCGGCGGCGGCAGCAGCCCCAGGAACGAGGGCACCCGCCACGGGAGGAGCCCCGGCGGCGGCAGCTGGGGCGCGACGGGGTCAGCGGCAGGAGCGGCACCAGCTGGTCCACCAGCCCCAGCCAAAACCGCGGCGAGGCCCACGGCGCCACCAGCAGCTGGCGGCAAGGGCGGCGCGGGAGCCAGGGCTGCTGCGGGCGGGGCCGCCGCGGGGCCAGGGCCGGCAGCGGCGGCGGCGGGCACGACGGCCTGCACCCCTGCGGCGACGAGCGCGGCGTCGTGCTCGGCCACCATTCGAAGGGCGCAACGCAGCGGAGTCGGCAAGCGTGAGCGGGGCCGCGAAGTCGTACACCGTGATGCCTCCTGCAGCGGGCGGAGGGCCCTCTCCGTTAACGCGGCGGTACCAGGCTCGAATGTCCGTGTTGCCTGGCCCCGGCTCTTCAATGTAAAGGTCGTCGTCCGGCGTGATGACCACGCAATCAGTGGGTGGGCCGAACCGCTGACACAGCCACCACGGTACGACCATGAAGAAGCGGCGGCTGCAGTGCATACTCGATGAATACCTCATCGCCCTCAATCATCGATATACTCCACCTCCGCGCGGTTGGTGTTGCAACGGCGGCCGACCGCCTGGCGGCGAGGTCGGCGCAGGCCGCGGGTTCCCCGATGCGGGCGCGGGCGCGCTAGGCCGCTGGGCCTCACGGCGACCGCAGCACGCGCAAGCGGACGCCAGCCAGCGGAGCCCCTCCACGAGCAGCGGGCCCGCGAGCGAGAGGAGCGGATGCAGGAGCGACATGCTCGGGCAGCGAGGCGCTGGCCGAGCACTGCAGGAGCAGGGCGGCGCACTCCTCCAGCGAGGGCGCGCGCTGCTCCACGACTGACTCCGCACACTGCGGAGCGGCGCAGGCCTCAGCGGACGGCGCCTCCGGCTCCGAGTCGGCTCAGCAGCCGGCGGAGGCGGTGGGGGCGGCCCCGGGCCGCCGGCGAGGCGCTGGTGAGCGGTCGGGCCCAAAACAATCCAGGCCAGGAGGAAGCCTAACTTGGCGAGGCTTGCTCCCTCCGGCCGCATCTCGAGAGAGAAGGCTGCAGAGCAGAAACGTACACCATTGTGAATACACTGCTGCGAACTCTCAACACTGTAAAAGGCGAACGTATCTGGCGGCTCTCATTCTGCTTTCAGATTGAAGTTCAGAGAACGACCATCAGCAGCAGCATCAGCATCAGCATCCCAATCATCAGCAATGGCATCATCATCGAGAGCATCCGTATCATCGTCATCATCATCATCATCATCATCATCATCATCATCATCACCATCATCAGCATCAGCATCAGCATCATCATCAGCATCATCATCATCATCATCAGTATAATCATCATCATCATCATCATCATCATCATCATCATCATCATCATCATCATCATCATCATCATCATCATCATCATCCATCATCATATACATAATCAATCATCATCATCATCATCATCATCATCATCATCATCATCATCATCATCATCATCATAATCAGCATCATGAACGTCCTGCTCGTCATCGTCGTCCTTGTCAGCGTCATCGTTATCGTCACCGCCACCACCATCATCAGCAGCAGCATCATCATCAGCATCACCATCACCATCATCATCATCATCATCATCATCATCATCATCATAATCATAAGCAGCATCATCATCACCATCAGCATCATCATCAGCGGCACCGTCATCGTCAGCATCAGCATCGACAACAGCATCATGATCACGATCACCATCAGCATCATCATCATCAACATCGTCATCATCAATACCATCATCAGCATCAGCATGCTCGTCGTCGTCATCACCAGCATCTTCATCATCATCGTCATCATCATCACAGCAGCAACAGCATCATCAGCATCAGCATCAGCATCACCATCACCATCATCAACATCATCATCATCATCGTTGTCGTCACCACCATCATCATCATCATCATCATCATCATCATCATCCTCATCCTCATCATCATCATTAGCAGCATCATCGTCAGCATCACCCTTATCCTCATCATCATCGTCGTCGTCATCATCACCACCACCACCATCATCATGCTTCTCTTTTATCAGATAGATTCCCCTCATCGTCCTCCTCCTCCTCCTCCTCTTCCTCCTCCTCCTACTCCTCCTCCTCTGTCTCTCCTTTACTCCTTCTCTCGCACCTCTCCCTCCTGACCCAATCATGATCATCTGATTTCTCATGCCTTTCTAGTCCTCCCCCTCCGTCGACGACGACGAAGACGCCAGAAACGAATCGGCCCCAACACCCCATCCTGGGCACGCTCTGACCGAGACTTCGAAACGAATGCTGCCGTGATGACGGGGACCGTGCAGGCCGCCCAGAAAGGGCGTCGACGAAGACGAAGAGTAGGCAGCATGATCACGACGGCGGACGACGGACGGGAGGTATAGGTTTCGGGCCGTAGCTTGGGCCTCAGGTGGCCGTTCGGGCCGCTTCGGGCACTCCCAGAACGCCCTCGGCGAGGCGCAGCTGCTGGAGGGCATCCTGGGGCCGGAACAAACGTCGCGGAACCGGAAACAACCGAGAACGACGACGACGGCGACGGAGACGGCGACGACGACGACGACGACGACGACGACGACGACGACGACGACGACGACGGCGACGGCGACGGCGACGGCGACGGCGACGGCGACGACGACGACGACGACGGCGACGGCGACGGCGAGGGCGACGGCGAAAGCGACGGCGACGGCGACGGCGACGGCGACGGCGACGGCGACGACGACGACGACGACGACGACGACGACGACGACGACGGCGACGGCGACGGGGACGATGACAGCGACAGCGAAGGCGACGGCGACGGCGACGGCGACGGCGACGGCGACGGCGACGGCGACGGCGACGGCGACGACGACGACGACGCTGACGGCGACGGCGACGGCGACGGCGACGGCGACGACGACGACGACGGCGACGGCGACGGCGACGGCGACGACGACGGCGGCGGGGACGACGACAGCGACGGCGAGGGCGACGGCGACGGCGACGGCGACGGTGACGGCGGCGACGGCGACGGCAACGGCGACGACGACGACGACGACGACAACGACGATAAGAAATCAGCCTGTCATTAGGTGCCACACAGGAACTCTTTATCCTTTAAAGGCCCCAGGGACCCACACAAGCCTTGGGGCGCCTTAGGGAGATTAGACAGCAACGGAGAGTGTGTTCCAAGACTTCTTGAATCAGAACTCCTTATCGTATGCACCTGGTGTACGACGACGACAACGACAACGAGGCCGACGACGACGACGACGACAACAACGACGACGACGAGGACGACGACGACGACAACTGCGGGCAATAGTTATATCCACATCCAGTGCGTCTTGGAGCTTCGGGCTCTCTTCCCCAGAAGCCGCAGGCGCACTGGATATGGATAACAATCTTGCCTCAGAAGGTTAGATTTGTATCCATATCCAGTGTGTCTCGGCCTTGCGGCACCCCTTCCCAACAAGTCCACGACGCTCTGGATATAGATAGAAGTATTGCCCGCAACAACGACGACGAGGGCAACGGAGGCGACGGCGGCGCCGACGGCGGCGACCGCGACGGCGGCGCCGGCGCCTGCGATGCCCCGTCTCTCGGAGGGGCTGCCCGGCGGCGGCAGCGGGCTGGCCCAGGCCGCCGGGGAGCCCAGCCCCTGGGCGGGGTCGGACGGACAGGGGAGATAGGAGGCAACTACTGGGAGGTCATCGTCGGAAGGATTCAGGAGGAGTAAGCCCCATGGGCTGTTACGCACGGAGTGGGCCTCGAATAAGCGGGACTAAGCGGGATTAAATGGGATTAAGCCGGATTTAGCGGGATTGAACGAGATTAAGCCGGATTAAGTCGGATTTCTGACCAGGGCAAAATCAGAATTTGACCTCCCAGGAGTTGCATCCGAAGGGGAGGGGGGACCAGGGGAAGTTTGCAATTTGTTTTTACAACAAAAAAACGATCTTGCCTTGTTCCGGGCTCCGGGACCCTCACGGATCCATCCGGCTCGGAAGAATGCCGCAGAGAGATCCAGCCCAGGGCTCTGGTCGTGACCACGGATCTCAGGGTACGTCGGCGGTTCAAAGATGGAGCCCCGAGGCATGGGGCCATGAGGACGAGCGGCATCAGACGAGGAAGGCTCAGCGTAGGATCTCCTTCGCATCCTCGGGGCCCCTCGCCCTGGAACCGCCGAGCACGCCGGAGCCATCGAGGGCCAGGCCTGGCGGCGAGGCCGAAACCAGCTGCCAGCAGCCGAGCCCGCACCCGCTCCCTCCCGTCGACCGTCGAGGGTGAGGGGGGGGCACCTCGACGCGGGCGCGGCGCCCCTGTAAGAAGGGGGCGCGCGGGTTCCCGGCGCCAAGCCTGGGGCGGTGGGGGGGGCGGGTCCGCCATGGGCCATGGGAGGCCGAGGGCGGGAGCGAGGGGGAGAGGGAGGGGGAGAGGGGGGGAGGGAGGGAGGGAGGCAGGAAGAGAGGGAGGCGGGGGAGAGAGGGAGGGAGGGAAGCCAGGGAGGGAGGGGCGGAGGAGCCAGACCACTTCGCGTCGTGGAAGGAGAAAAAAAAAAAAAGGAAAACAACAAAAAACACTCTGAAGCTTTGGAGTTGGGAGCTCCGCATGAATCTGACAGCGATGGCGATGTGGACCCAGATATGGTCTAGTCTGATGGCCCCCACCAGATTCCTGCCAGCCGGTGGGCCTTTGGCAGGCAAACCGTCCTGCCAGCCCTTGCGCATTTGGCAGATACGCGTTGGTGGGCGGTTGGTGGGCCAGTCTGACTTTCTTGAGTCTTCTGAGTCCGACGAGCTACGCGAAGATATTGATGGTCTGGTCAAACATGTGCAGCGGCTGGAATCAATCAAGTTACCTCGGGCGGCACAGCCGCTTCAAGTTGCTCGTGACCAGCTTTCATTATCTACGAGTGCGGTGCTTGGTCTTTTGTGGTGTTTGACCCTGGACCTGGACGGCCTGCACTCGAAGTTGTTTTGCTTTTCCGTCGCCCTTTTCAACGGCGGGCGGATCGGCCTCCTGCTGTGGATGCCGCTCCTTGTGTGGTTCAGCACCGTGCTGGACTACGGGCCCCGCGTACGGTCGCTGGGCCTCGAGGGATTTTGCCTCGTGTGGGTGAGCACGAGTCTCGCGCAGGCTCCGTGCTGCCTGGCGGGCGCGCCGCCCGCTTCCTCTTGGGCCTGCTGGTGCTGGTCCCGCGGCCTTGGCGGCTGCAAGGCGGCTCTGGGCCCTGGTGGCTCCGTTCTTGCAGCAGGCTGGGGTCTCGGGGCTGGCATCTGCGGGCCCTTGGCCCGCGGCCTGTCCAACCGCCTCTCGGCTTCTGCTCGCCCGCTCGCTCCTCCTCCTCCGCCTCGTCCCCCCCCTCCTCCTCCTCCTCCTCCTCCTCCTCCTCCTCCTCATCATCCTCCTCCTCATCTTCCTTCTCGTCCTCCTCCTCCTCCTCCTCCTTCTCCTCCTCCTCCTCTTTCTCCCGCCTGCCCCTCCGCGCCCCTCCCCTCCTGCAGCACGGTGAGTGCCAGGAACCTCCCAGGAACTTCCCAGGTTACCAGTCCTTGGTGGCACGCGCCAGGGGGTATGGGGGAGCGGGGAAGGCATCTTCGAAGGAGGCTGCTCCTTAGAAGGCGCGAGCCCTGCATCTCGAGACCAGGCACGCGCCTTCGGCGAAGCAGCCTCCTTCGACGAGGCCTCCCCCCCTCCTCCATACCGTACCCCCCCCTGCGCGTGGCCGACGAAGGTCTCAGCCCGTTCCCGAGGACGGGTTCGTCCTCCCGGGTCGTTTCTTGACGGCCCCCCCGAGGGCCCGCAGGGGCCCCAGGAGGCTGGAAATGGCGGGACACCTCCCGCCGTGATCTGTTCATGACTCGGGGGGGGGGGTCTGGGAACTGCACGGGGTCAACGACAGGGAGGTTCTCGCCATCTGCGGCCTCGGGGGCCCCTGCCGGCCTTCCGGGCCCGTCAAACAAGGATTCGGGAGGACGAGCCAGTCCTGGGCAATGGGTCCAGACCGCTGGGGATCCACGTCATGGAAAACTCCTGACGTCTGGGGTCTGGGTTGGGGGCATCTTTGGAGCCCCGTCGTCGCAAAGATCGCCCTCGTCGCCGCGGGCTCCAATAATCTCCTCCCAAAACTCTGGCCGGAGCGCACCCCAGGACACTCACCCCAGGACACGCGCGCGAGGGCGGAGGAAGCATGGAGGGAGGAGGGAGGGAGGGAGGGAGGGAGGAAGGGAGGGAGGGAGGAGGACTGAGGAGGGGGGAGGACTGGGCAGGGGAGGAGGACTGAGGAGGGAGGAGGAGGAGGACTGAGGAGGGAGGAGGACTGTCTCGAGCGCTCAAGATACCCGTACCCTTACCCAGACGGGGTGGCAAGGGGCCCTCGGGGCATCACCCCCCCTGGGTCCGGGTCGGCTCCCGAAACCACCATACATACCCGTACCTAGACGGGGTGACCCAACCACCACCCCAGCTAGGTCCGGGTATGTATGGTTGTTTCGAGCACCGACCCGTGCCCAGACGAGGTGGCGGCAAGGCCGAAAACGCTCTAGCGGGCGGCCCTTTTTCACCCCAGCTGACCCCGGGTCCGGGTATGTTTTGGGCTAGTGAGACTGGGCAGGGAAGGGGGATGAGGAGGCAGGAGGACTGAGGAGGGATGAGGACTGAGGCGGGAGGAGGACTGGTCACGGAGGGAAGGAGGGAGGAGAAAGGGAGGGGGGAGGGAGGGAGGGCGTGAAGGAGGCGAACTTCTCGCGGGCACCCTCCGCCCAGCGTCCGCCCTGGGCCAGAGCGGCCAGGGCAGACGCAGAGAGATGCTGACCTGGGCGACGGATGGGCGGAAGGCAGCGCGGCGCGGAGGAGCCCACGGGATCCTCCGATGCCCGAGGGGGAGGCGGGCGGGCTCGGCAGCCGGGCCGATCAGGGCTGCGACGGAGAAGGCGGAGACGACACGCGGGGGAGGCGCAGAGGCTGGAGGGGAGGAGCGCCCGTGGCTCCCAGGGGGTCAGCTCGCCGAGGCGCGCCGCCGCGCTCCCAGCACCTCAGCGCCAGCGAAAATGGAAGTACTGGAGGAGGCCGGCCGTGAGGGAGGAGGACGAGGAAGAGGAAGAGGAAGAGGAAGAGGAGGAGGAGGAAGAAGAGAAGGAGGATGATGAAGAAGAGGAGGAACACGGATCAACTAATAAGAACAAGCATATTCATCACACTAATAATACTACTACCACTGGTAATATGAGTAATACTGAACTTGATAATGCGAATATTAATACTAAAGAGAAGAAGAAGAATAATACGACTTGAAATAATAATAATAATATATTAATACTAATAATACTAGTATCAAGAAGACTAGAGTATTAACATTCATACAAATACTAACAATGATAACATTGATACATAATAATGAAAATAATCGTAGTAGCAATAACAAGCGAATAAACATTATAATAAGCATAATACTAATAGTAACAATAACAATTATTATACGAAGAGGAAGAATAAGAAGACGAATACGAAAAATAATAATAAGAAGACAAAGTGGCTTTTTTGACGGCCCCCAGGCCCGGCAAGGGCCCCCAGAGACCGAAAGTAGAGACAAACCTTCGGTCGAGATGAGGAGCGTTGTTTTATTCGGAATTTCGACAGTGGCCGCAAGGGGGGGGAGGGGAGGGGTCTGGCTGCCGACCTCTGCTTGGTGCGAGTTTGCAACAGTGCGGCCTCCACCTGCTTGAAACAGGAGCCAAAAAGAGCCAAGATCTACTCCAGGGGGGGGGAGGGGGGGGGCGAGGGCCCGCGCCGATCGGCAAAACAATGAATCAAAAAACGATCACATGTTTTCATGACTCGATGAGGTTTGGGTCCCCACCCCCCTCTGCGCGGTGGCTGCCCTGACTTTGACTGTATGCTTGGACCCGCAGCGGCAGGGCTTGCCAGCGGCCCAAGTGCAGGGCTCGCGAGCAGCTCAAGTCCGCTGCCTTGGAGTCGCGCGAGGTCGGGGAACCCTGAGACCCTGGCGACTCAATTTTTTCGAGCTGGCCGATCTTGCTCGACTTCGGGCCCTGGGACCCTCACAGGTCGATCTGGCTCGACAGATGACGCAGAAAGATGGGGTCCGGAGGTCCAGGCGTGATTTTTTGCGATGCTGCATTTTTTGGCAACGCCGGATCTCAGGGACCTGCCGTCGGCGCGCTGCTAGATGCCCCTGGCGCCACGGTGCGCCGGCGTCGTCTCCGCCGCCGTCGGCGGCGACGCGCGAGGCGCTCCCGCCGCTGCCGACGGCGCCGCCGCCGCCGTCAGAACGAGAAAAAAAAACGGCGTGGCCAAACACTCCTGGGGGTCTGCGCGGATTCCTAGGATCGGCGCTCGGCCCCGCGCCGATCCAGGAGATCCGCTCGGAGCTTTGAGGGCTTGTGCACGTGCCGCTGCTGCTGGTCTCCGGGTTGTGGTCGTAGCGTCGCGGGCGCGCTGCTGCCTTCGCCCCCCCACCCACCCCCGATGGGACGCACAAAGACGTGCTGGTACTACGTGTTTCCCTGGGAGGCGTGCGTCCGACCCGAACAGATAGTACACTCAGTACACGCAAAGCTTGCAGCACGTCGCTTTATGAGAGGCACGGCCAGAAAGCGCCCGCCGCGAAGCACACATACTGTAGCAGACTTCTCGGCGCGCGCGCCGCCCCTGGAAGGGCGACGCGCACATGGTATTAGCATTAGGTCGGGTACGCCCTCCTGCAGGCGGATTGTAGCAGGGAAAAGAAAGAAGAATCAACAAATGCTCGAAAACAATAGGAAAATCGTCCCCAGACTACTGTTTGACTATGTTTGCAAATTCCTCCTGTAGAGGGACATGCCCGACGTAGTATTAGCATGTTGAGGTGACGCCGACCCGACGCCGCGGCGCGACGCCGCACACCGCCGCTGCTGCCGACGGCGCGCGCGCGCGCGGTCGGCGAGCAGGGCGCGGCGCCCCCGCCAGAGGCGGCGGCGGCGCCGCCAGAGGGGCCCCTCTGTGCCGCGGCGCTCGCTCGGCGCGGCCCCGGCGGGGGCGCGCGGGCGCCAGCTCGGGAAAGGCAGCGCGGGGAGGAGACCCTCAGATACCGGCGACGCAATTTTTTCGAGCTGTGGGCGTTCTCGCTCGATTCCGGGCCCTGGGTCCCCCACAGATCGATCCGGCTCGACAAATGACGCCGCGAAAGATGGGGCCCGGGGGTCCGGGCGTGATTTTTTGCGATGTTGCATTTTTTTGCAACGTCGGGTCTCAGGGGACGAGGGAAGCGCTGCGACGCCGAAAGAAGGCTATGGGAGCCTGCCAGCAGAAGAGACCAGGGGCGAGGGAGGAGGGAGCGAGGGAGCGAGGGAGGAGGAGGGGCCCTGAGACCTGGAGCTGCAAAAAAAACCTGCGGCATGGCAAAACAGTAACGCTCTTTCTCTGTCTCTCTCTCTCTCT